TGATGTTACAAATGCAGGTCTCACCACTTGAGCGAAACCATAAAGAGGCATTATATTTTAACGTCGGATGGCGTCTTTTACGTTTCGAACGAGAGGTGGTGCATTGATCTGTCACATCGGTCAGGTGAGTCAACCTCTAGTCTTGTAAAAAAATTGCATTTTGGTCCTGATACACACGGCTTGGTGCGTAAGGGATATCTGGTGATTAGTTTTATATAGCTTAAAACTTTAAAGTTAAAATTGTAATTTTAAATTTTAATATGGTTTAGTATAACCATCGAAGTAAAAGTTCTCCAAATCTTCAAAAAATTCAGAGGATGTTTGGTTAGAGGTGTTAAACAGTAATCAACGGTAATGAAAATAAAATAACCTGTTTGATTTTATATAATATAATAAACCTATTCCCCCAGAAGCCCAAATTTTCATTTTAGGTTAAACTAGAAGGAATGAAATCATTTTCATTTTCATTGCTCTGTCTGAACCAAACACCTCTAGAAAAACATAACGGTCGGAGATTCTTTTTAGATTTTACATTCTTTTAGATTGCAAAATGAAATATAATTGTTTGGTAATTGTGTACAATAAAACAGAGCTCTTAATGGTTAAGGGAGATCCAGTATACAAAATCCTTTAAAGGGTTTTAAAACCATTGAGAGACAAACTTTTTTTTGTCAAACAAGATTCACCTCTTAATGATTCAATATTATCTTTTAATAAAACTATTAAGAGATAAACAAACAACTCGTTAATATAGTGTAAAAAGTAAAGAATATAGGTTTTATATTTGAAGGGATATGGGAAGATGAGAAGACAATGATTCATTGATATCCAATGTGATTGCTTGAGTTATTAGTTAGCAGTGAGTTTTTACTCCCTCAATACCCAACACCACAGACTACACTACACCCTTCTGCACCTACACTGCTCCCTACCCCCACCCCTCCTCAGTGACGTGTCAATCAGTCATTGGCCCACTTACACCCTTCATTGATTCCTTACCCCTCCTCTCTTTTGACCTCCTTGTCCACCATCTTGTATACACATGTATATACATATATTGTAGCCTTTGGATCATGTAAGATTAAGGGTTTTTCGTAAGACCTGTAAGAACAATTTTCAACTTTTGGATTAGATCTACAATCTGAACATTCATAATCACAAAATTGCCACGAGACTTTTCAATAATAACAAAATTGTCACCGTGCAACTTTAGACCATTAGATCATTAGCTTATAAAGTTGATCAATTAACATAAATTGGTCTTACGGGTCTCACAAAAAATCATTGGTCTCACATGAACACAACCATTGTATATATATGTAGGGTTGGGTTCATGTGAGACCAATGGTTTTTTGTGAGACCCGTAAGACTAATTTATGTTCAATGATCAACTTTATAAGCTAATGATCTAATGGTCTATAGTTGTACGGTGGCAATTTAGTGATTATTGAGAAGTCTCGTGACAATTTTGTGATTATGAATGTTCAGATTGTAGATCTAATCTAAGGGTTGAGAATTAGTCTTACAGATCTCACGAAAAACCTTTGATCTCACGTGATCTCAAGTCTACAATATATGCATATAGAAAAAGAGAGAGAGAGAGGGGG